GTTATTTTGAAATGCTTTAATGCTAGCTACTTCTCAGGTATCGGATATGGTTATGTTGGTGAGATGTCCATATTTAATTTCTTGGACACCTAAATCATTGAGAATGACAGAACTTATGAGATTAACTTTTGCAAGTGTAATAGTTAGAATCCAATTTTGAAGATCTGAAATGATCACTCTGTTTTTGCCAAAATTGTTTCGAAAAGGTGATCAATGTTTATTTTATCGAGTTATACTTATCCTATCGATATCTGCAAAAATTACTTTCCTTATGTGTTTTTGCTTAAAAGCTTCTACCAATGTCTTCGTCGCATTGGCATAGATTTTTTTTTCGCATCCGTCCATTAATGTAAATAATTTGACATAGAGTAATCTGTTAATTTGACCGAGGTGGCCATGTAAGCCTTCAATAACGGCAGTACGAGTTTTATTAAAGAAAACGAATATTAAAGAAAATGTGCTTAATAGAGAAAGAGTATTTTAAGGAAGATTGTCTTTATGGACGTTCCCAGGTCTGACTCTACCGTACAATCCGTAAACCATGGGGACAGCTTGTTACCTAAACGCTTATTCAACTTGACCCATATTTTGTCGCCCACCTGATATCTTTTATAAGTTTTATTCTTATTTTTCTATTCCACCTGTTAGCATTGTGAATTTCTGAGTTTTCCTCAAATAACTGCCTAAATTTCTGCAGTTGGCGCATAAACTATTTCGATCGGTTGCTTATTTGTTACCGAATAAATCGTTCTGTTGTATTCTGTCGTAGCCAACAAAATGACGTGCACAGTCTCGGCTTTCTGCAACGCGCTATCTCCGTCAGTGTGCTGTGAAATCTTTCCACGTGTTCGAAGTGCTATGCAGTGGAAATATTTGACAACAGTTGTTTTATTGTTTCGGAATTTAATGACCGTTCGTTGTCGCAATAAATATTCTTGATTTTTGGAAACATGTCGGAAAAAGCTTTTTTACTGTGGAAAAAACATCGACATGTAGAATTTCTCCTGCACAAAATGGAATAGGAGTGATACCTAACAATTTTTTTTTAGGCGTCTATCATACTTTGCTATTGAACAAATTTTAAAATTTGACGCAATTTCTGTTGTTAATCTGGTCATATTTGGAAAAAAATAATCACGGAGTACGCTTGTTCTCTTGAGCCGCTCGATGAGCACTATTATGCTCAGACGTTAATATTTCTCTTTTTTTTTACTTTTATCATTGATCAAATGCTTTGAATACCTAAATGTTGTTGTTGGCAACATTTCTATTAGCTTATGCTAAATAACGGTAAGCATTGGGAGCGTCAACGTCAGCATTTACTACATCTTGTAATGTTTGCATTAGTGTATTTTTGTCAGACGTTCGAATGACATGCCTTGTCTTTGTTTGAAACAGTAAGAATGCTCTTACTGATGAAATGTCTGCTTATTCAATGGTAATTTGATTCCTGAAACAATTGACCGGCTTGTCCGTTGCGTCCGTTACGTCAGCCACTCTTTTCTCCTTTCCTGGATTGTAAATAATTTTCGCATTGTGTTTATCAATGAAGGATTTCCAGCGTTTTATTTTCGCATTTGCATTTCGATCCGAGAGCGCAAAAGTCAGCGGTTGATGGTCCGTATAAATGTTTAAGTCTCTAACTACCTAATGGTAATTCCAATTGCCAAGAGTTCCCTCTCATTGGTTGCTAACTCAGATTCCTTATCTCGCAAAGTCGTTGAAATCACCGCTATAGGTGTCCCGGTCTTGTGAGAATTCTGCTCCAAGGCCGTGTCCTGAAGCATCAGTTGTTAGATCAAATGGCTTCTTATAATCCATGTATCTTAATATGACATCTTCAGATACTAAGATGTTTTTAGGTCTATCAAGCGTTTGCAACTGTTTAGCTGTAAGTTCGATTTTGACCTTTCTGGAATCATTGGTGCTTACCTTAGCAGTGACCCCTTTAAGTATATCTGTTAGGGGTGTTGCGATTGCAGCTAAGTTTTTTATAAAACATCTATAATAACTAGATAGACCGAAAAAATTACATTAACTCATATAGATATGTTGGCAGTTTAATGGACTGTATTGCCCGTGTGAAGTTTTTATAGCTCCAATAGCAACAAAAACCCGAGATATTCGACGCTCTTTTTGAAAATATAATGACATCATCTACATAGACGTGATATATTTTCCCCATGTGTTCTCTTAGAACATCATCTATTACCCTCTGAAAAATACTTGGAGCGTTTTTCAATCCATACGAAAGTCGGCAAAACTCGTACTTCCCACTGTTGACAGAAAAGTCGGTTTCTCCCTATCCCCTCCTGCCAGCTCGATCTGATGTTATCCTCATTTCAGGTCAAAAGTCGAGAAATACTGCGAGTTTCCCATGTACACAATTACTAACTTTCTTATCTACTACCCAAATAGGATTATTATAATGCCTAAACTCCGCATTTACGAAGTCAGATACCCTTAAAGGGTTTAAAAAGAACAGTGTTTATGTTAAATGGTACAGCTACTTTATTATGAAGTGGCGGTGTTGGTAAAGTTGATACGCGTTGCATCATTTGTGGGTTCGAATCTTAGTATTGTTATGTCGATTCTTATTTGTTTTTTTTTTTGTTAATACTCTATACAAACTACGAAAAATATTTAAAAACGCAGATATGACTGGGATCAGGGTAAGCATCGGGAGCGTCAACGTCAGCATTTACTACATCTTGTAATGTTTGCATTAGTGTATTTTTGTCAGACGTTCGAATGACATGCCTTGTCTTTGTTTGAAACAGTAAGAATGCTCTTACTGATGAAATGTCTGCTTATTCAATGGTAATTTGATTCCTGAAACAATTGACCGGCTTGTCCGTTGCGTCCGTTACGTCAGCCACTCTGTTCTCCTTTCCTGGATTGTAAATAATTTTCGCATTGTGTTTATCAATGAAGGATTTCCAGCGTTTTATTTTCGCATTTGCATTTCGATCCGAGAGCGCAAAAGTCAGCGGTTGATGGTCCGTATAAATGTTTAAGTCTCTAACTACCTAATGGTAATTCCAATTGCCAAGAGTTCCCTCTCATTGGTTGCTAACTCAGATTCCTTATCTCGCAAAGTCGTTGAAATCACCGCTATAGGTGTCCCGGTCTTGTGAGAATTCTGCTCCAATGCCGTGTCCTGAAGCATCAGTTGTTAGATCAAATGGCTTCTTATAATCCAGGTATCTTAATATGACATCTTCAGATACTAAGATGTTTTTAGGTCTATCAAGCGTTTGCAACTGTTTAGCTGTAAGTTCGATTTTGACCTTTCTGGAATCATTGGTGCTTACCTTAGCAGTGACCCCTTTAAGTATATCTGTTAGGGGTGTTGCGATTGCAGCTAAGTTTTTTATAAAACATCTATAATAACTAGATAGACCGAAAAAATTACATTAACTCATATAGATATGTTGGCAGTTTAATGGACTGTATTGCCCGTGTGAAGTTTTTATAGCTCCAATAGCAACAAAAACCCGAGATATTCGACGCTCTTTTTGAAAATATAATGACATCATCTACATAGACGTGATATATTTTCCCCATGTGTTCTCTTAGAACATCATCTATTACCCTCTGAAAAATACTTGGAGCGTTTTTCAATCCATACGAAAGTCGGCAAAACTCGTACTTCCCACTGTTGACAGAAAAGTCGGTTTCTCCCTATCCCCTCCTGCCAGCTCGATCTGATGTTATCCTCATTTCAGGTCAAAAGTCGAGAAATACTGCGAGTTTCCCATGTACACAATTACTAACTTTCTTATCTACTTCCTAAATAGGATTATTATAATGCTTAATCTCCGCATTTACGAAGTCAGATACCCCTAAAGGGTTTAAAAAGAACAGTGTTTATGTTAAATGGTACAGCTACTTTATTATGAAGTGGCGGTGTTGGTAAAGTTGATGCGCGTTGCATCATTTGTGGGTTCGAATCTTAGTATCGTTATGTCGATTCTTATTTGTTTTTTTTTTTTTTGTTAATACTCTATACAAACTACGAAAAATATTTAAAAACGCAGATATGACTGGGATCAGGGTATCTCCTAGTCGGGCACCCCGACTAGAGCTTTCTTACTTGTTTTATGCTATTTTTGTATTCCAAAAAATCAAATGAAATTCGCATTTACATGAAAAACATTGAGTTGAGACACGGAGTTTCATTTATTAAGTACTTTATCGTTTTACGACGTTGGGCGCCAATTAATTAAAGACTCTTTTTAACTGTTGAATATTTACTCGCCTACTGGCCGACTCAAATTATAACTAGAACCACAGCAGCGGTCAAGAACTTATGACTCAGCGTCTCGTTCCACCCGGCAGTGCGACCGACTGAACTGATTATTCAGTGCTTTCGGCTATGTTGTAATCGTTTCCGCTATTCTGTTTATTTGGCTGGTAAAAACTTATAGTCTTTTATATCAGGAATTAGTATAAAAAACAATATAATTATCTAAATACCATTTTGGCCATGTGTCATTTATCACATGTGATAAATTTCACATGGTCAACTTGGTTGACAGAAAACTGTGAAGCATTCATTCTGTGCATATATTCATATTAAAACTTAAAGAATTTACTTTCAAATGCCATGACATACATTTTTATATTATCTTGCTTGTCTTAACAAGATTCTATGGTTTAGCTTTTGGGTGCGAATTGACCTTCTGTGCACTTCTTTAATTTCTGAAAATTTATTTTATAAACAAAAAATTATTTTTTAAAAAATAGTTTTTTAAAGCAATTCTACCCTAACAAACATGCTGATTTGAAAGTTTTGGATGTGGGTATAAGACGAAAACGCTCACCATTATGTTGACTCTTTTGTTGTCGCTCTCTTCAGATTTGAAGTGACCTGCAAAGGAATCTGGAATACTAGTAATGGGAGATTTTATTTTGCCTGCGTAATCTGTGAGGACTGATGCAAGAACAATACCTTCACCCTGCTGTCATATGTATGATTTCGTTCTCTTGTCTTAACAAAGCTTAACATTCAGTGATCTCCTCATAAGTACATTAGTGCGTTGATGTTTCAACAGGTAAAATTTCTCATTCGTTCTGACTTGCAATACAGAATAAAATCAGTGTCTGTGCGCGTCAGCTTATATATTTTGTATTCTCAAACCGCAAGGGTCAATTAAGAAAAAGGCGTTAATAAAAACAATTAAATACAATACATTTCTGAGGTGTACACAATCATCGTTTATTTTTTTTTTTTCAAAGTTTCACATTTTCGGTTACGCTGCAATATGGCGCGCATAAAAACTGAATGCTCCCTTCAATCATTGATCAGAAGTCAGCGACATGGAAAACGCAGAACAAAGTTCGCCCAGTAAATATTAAGCGATATTAATGCAAACATATACTAACCCACATTTAATTTTGCAGGAACAAATCGTTAATATCTTAGAAAAAAGATAAAAAGAAAACGGATGTATAATTAAACTGCGAAAGCTGTCACACAATTTTAATCTCTCACTCAAATACCTGATCACAACAGATCAAATAGCCAGCCCAAGTGTTACCATAGAAGCTTGATGTGGTATCACAACCTATTCATGCATGAACTTACAAAATCGAGGATGTCGTCGAGGATGTCGAGGATGTCGTCTACGCACTCAGGTTGAAGTGTTCTTGAAGACTAGGACATCAAGACAAACATAAATGCCTAACACCTCGTTGCTGACTACATATAAATTAATAAGTGAACGGAAGCTTATCGACGTCGGTGCAGCGGCAGCAGATTTCAGCAGAACGAAGTGGATTTGGAGTGGATGGGGACCAGACGCTGACTTTGTTTTATGTGGAAAATATAGTTTGAAGCGGATGGAAGTCAGACGCTGAGTGTGTTAAAAATATTGTTTTGACAATATTTGAATGTTCAAATTCTTAACTCCTCCCCTCTTAGTGTGTGGTCATGTGTGGTCTCTTAGAAAAATGGGATGTTGTTAAATTGCATGTAGCACGGCTTGGGTTGTTGTGCTTCTTCTTCAGCGGTTGGTGGAGCCAGCTGTAAAATGATTTTTCTTGTTTTTTTTTGCTAAGAATTACGGTGGTCAAGGTTATAGTTATGAGGAAGAACGGTGTTATTGATGAGATACCATTGTTTTAATTCGCAGTTCTTCGATTTCTTGTGTTGCTTATAGTCGTTTAGTTTCTTCCAAAGTTTTTTGTATGGTTGGTGAGATTGTTTTTCTGATTATGATTTCTAGGTTATTGAAGCTTATTTCTTTGACGTTAATTGATTTGTTACAGAATTTGGTGAGATAGGTGCCCCTCAGTGTAGTAATGTTGTTTTGCCGGGAGACGGTGCCGTTGAAATTGTTGAGAAGAACCCGTGCATTGCTAAACTCACAAAGCGCATGTTCCCGATATCAGTTTGATATCATTGAAAATGGGAAATCAGGGTATAATGGTTTTGTGCAAATGTATGTAACAAGCAGAAGGAGGCGTGGCAGACCCCATAAAGTATATGTTGGAGCGTCGTTAGTATTTTCCATGGCTCTAATAGCGCAGCGAGTTTCGATGCGCAGGCTTCTCGATTCAAAGTTGAACTGCTCGCCTTTTCGTTTCTCTGCCTCGCACCGAACCACACTCGACGACAGCGTTGTAGCGCTGTCGTCGCGCTATAACGGGACTTCTTAAAGCGACAAAATGCAAAGGACCAATCAGGGCGCAATTAGCGGCTGATGCAATATTTTTTAGTATGATGAAATTAGGAATTCTGGTAATAACCAGAATTCTCATACAAAGCAATACACACACAGGAATTCTGGTAATAACCAGAATTCTCATACAAAGCAATACACACACAGCGCGTACGTGCAACACGCAGGAACTATCAAATACAGTGCGTACATACAGTACGCTCCGACACGGCCATCCTGACCTTGACACGTCCTCGTGTAATATGCCAAACATTAACTTTAAAAATGTCTTTGTAATAGATTTCAAACTTAATTCATCGTCTCTTTTAGACGGATATCCAACCAATAATCATCGTTTCTCTTAAACGGATAACCATTAACAATCGTCTCTCTTAGACGGATATCCAACTGATAAAATATTCAGTTCAACATTTCTTCATACAAACTCTTAACATTTATTCTTAATTAAAACATTTGAAAACATATTTCTTTCAATTCAATTCAATAACTTCACCTATGCAAGTTACAAAAATAAAACATGATGCTTGTTTTATTACATAATATTTTGCCAAATTGTCGATTTTACATTTTCTTTAACTAAATTTCCAAATTTCATTCAAAAAGAAACAATCATCGTCTCACTTGGACGGATAACCTTCGTCTCACTTGGACGGCTCACCATCGTCTCACTTGGACGGCTCACCATCGTCTCACTTGGACGGATAACCTTCGTCTCACTTGGACGGCTCACCATCGTCTCACTTGGACGGATAACCTTCGTCTCACTTGGACGGCTCACCCTCTGCTTCTATCAGACCATTTGACGAGCCTGGATCTTCATCCTCAATGTCCAGCTCATGGGGCACATTTCCCTCTGGAAATTTTCTTGTGTCCTCGTGACAGTATTTATATAATCGTTTACTCGATAACGACTTTAACATGTATCTGTCACCGTCTAGGACTTTAACTACCAAAAATGGACCCTTGAATTTTGGGTCTAATTTTGTCTGGTGTCTCTCCTCGTTCTTGAGAAGGACATAGTCACCAACACTGTGTCTTACAACGGCGGCCTTGGACTTATCAAATCGATTTTTGTTGTAAAAGGCTAAAGATTTCATACTGCTACTTGCTCGAGCCCGTGTGGAGTCTAAGTCTACTTCCAATTCTGTGTCCAATGGAGGAACTAATCCAAGAGGTCGACCTTCTTTCCCTATTAACATTTCTAAGGGACTAGCCTCAGTTGCCCGATTTGTTGTGCAGTTTAAAGCTAGCTGCACCTCGCCGAGAGCATCTTGCCAGGGCCTTTGGCTTAATTCGACTGCAGTTAATAGGTTCTTGAGCGTGCTCATAACGCGCTCAACTTGTCCATTAGCACGACTTGCCCCAGTCGCGATTAAATGAAGTTTTATGGTTTTTGAACAGCAAAATTCTGCAAACTGCCCGCTAGAAAAACATCTACCCTGATCAGCTATAATGAGTGTTGGTGCACCAAACAAGGAAGTTGAAGACTTTATGGCCCTGATACAACTCTCCGTATCTATTTTGAGAGTGTGGTACAGGTGTACGAATTTTGTGAAGCTGTCAATTTGAACAATGATATATTCCTTTAAATCACTTTTACCACTTAATTTGCCAGTAATGTCCATATGGACGGTGTGCCAAGGGATGCTAACCCTTGGTATAGGATGTAATTCTGCTTGAACTTTGCCGGAATGTGACTTTGCTGTCCTGCAGGTTATACAATTGTCAACAAATTTACGGACATATTTGTTCATTTTCTCAAACCAGTAAAATTGGTAAACTTTGTCAGGGGTTTTTTGCCAACCAAGGTGCATGATTGACTCATGTACCTGGTTAACTACTGACCATCTGAAATTTCGGGGCACAACTGGCAAGCATCGTGTCTTACCATTTTTTTGGATTTTACGAAACAACATCCCTTTTCTCAAATCATATGTTTTAGTTACTTCGTCTAGTAGGTCATTTGAATTCAGTTTACTGACAAGGGCAGCAATATCCGGGTCCAATTGCTGTTCGGCAAACAACCAATTATTTGAGATTTCTGCTATGTTTATTCGCTTCTCGGGAATTTTTTCCAAAATTAATTGTTTCTGAGTGACTGGGTTTCTAGATAAGAAGTCGACATGTGCCATACGTTTTCCTTCTCTGTACTGTATGTCAAACTTGAAAGATTGTAAATAAGACCACCAGCGATGAACTCTAGGAGTTAAGTCTATTTTGGTTCGCGATGCCTTTAACGAGTTACAATCTGTATAAACCACAAATTCTCTGCCAAGCAAGTAGTGACGGAAATGTTTAACGGATGCAAATACTGCCAGAGTTTCAAGCTCATACGAGTGGTACCTAGACTCGGCTGGCGAAGTTGTTTTACTAAAATATTCTACAACGTGAAGCTTATTGTTAATTCGATGTAAAAGCATGGCACCAAATCCGATTGAGCTAGCGTCGGTGTGTAGTTCTATAGGGTATTGCGGGTCGAATATTACCAGAACTGGTTCGTTTGTAAGAATAGTCACAATTTTCTTGCGAATGCTTTCCAACTCAGTAGTCCACGCAAAACTTTCCCTTCCTGATGTTAGGGAATACAACGGCTTTATGACTTGAGAGAATCCGGGTACGAATTTGCGAAAATAGGATGCAAGACCAATAAACTGCCGTACACCAAAAACCGTCTGTGGCGGTGGCAACGATGTTAACGCAACAATCTTTCGCGAGTTTGGTCGAATTTCCCCTGCTCTTACCTCATATCCCAGATATTGAACGACTGTTTTTAAGAAACTACATTTGTTAACATTAAAAATGAATCCAGCATCTGTGAGAATGTCTAGTACTATTTTCAACCTTTCCAATCCTAATTCGACTGTGGGTGACACGATCATGATATCATCCATGTAAACAATCACGTATGAATAGGCCAAGTCACCCAAGGCACGCATGACTGCCCGTTGGAAAACGGATGGCGCATTTTTGAGTCCGAACGGCATGGTCAGGAACTCATATTGACCGTCCGGGGTCACAAATGCAGTGTATTCTATGGAATCAGGGTGGATAGGAATTTGGTGGAAACCACTCGCCATATCAAGACACGTGAAGTAATTTGCGCCACGCAGCCTAGCGATCTGGTCGCTAATGAGCGGCAAAGGGTACCTGTCTGCGATTGTGTTAGAGTTTAACTCTCTGTAGTCGACACAAAGTCGGTCTGTACCATTTTTCTTCTTGACAAGCAGCATAGGACTGGCAAAAGGGGAGCAGCTGGGTCGAATGATGTTGCATTTAAGTAACTCACTTAACTTTTCTCGGACAATGTCTCTTTCTTCAGGGCTAAGTCTATAGGGCCGGCGTTGTACAGTTTTGGTTGGATCAATCAAGCGAATTTTCATTTCCCCTGTCGTGACTCGTGTAGATGGTGCCCCTTTTACAAGTGCAGTGGAGTAATTCTCAAGCATTTTTATTAGTTTGTCTTTATCAGCCTCGCGCAATTCGGTATCGAGATTTGTAAGGTCAACTGGTTCCCTATCTATTGAGCAAATATTTACGGCTTTGGCTTTTACTACGTTAAACTTGTTTTGTGATATAGTGACATTAAATCCTTGTTTAAGAATTTCGCGGCCGATAACAATGTCGCTTTTCAAATGATTATCTTGCACTACATGGAACAATATTTGAAGTGCGTTCTCATTTATGGTGACTTGGCTTAATATTTGTAAGGTGCTATATATGCCAGTATCGCCTATACCTTTTAGCATGATAATGCTGTTAAAACGCTTACCAGCTAGCTTACTACATATTTTCTCTTTAATGAGTGAACACTCTGCGCCAGAATCAAAAGAAATTGGGTAAGTCTCACCGAGCTGCATCATCACTCCAGTTGGCTCTGGTACAAAGCACTGGTTCACAGTTTTCCGTTGGAATGCTCCCTGTGTACTTGTTGATTCCTTTTTCGGACATTGATTTGCGAAGTGTCCAGGCTGGCCGCACTTGAAGCAAGTAACAGTTGGCTTGTCTCGCTGAGATGTCGCGTCCCCCTTTTGTCGCATTTTGGCTCTGCACTCAGCAATTTTATGTCCTGGTTTGCCACAGAAATGGCACACTATTGTCAATATTCTCCTCTTCTTGGCGTCAGGTCCAGGTCCGGAGTCGTCATCACGGTCAACATTACGATGTTTTTTAAAGGAGAATGCGCCTAGTTCGGATTGCAAGTCACTTCTAGTTTGAACTTTTGACGTGAACACAATCCGTTCCAAGCGGTTATCCACATTGGCTAAATGCGCGAGCACAATTGAAACAGCAATTTCTTCGATGTTTTTGTTTTTCCAATTGGAAGTTAAAGTGGTCACCAAACGGCTAGCATAAACCGCAAGACATTCGCCGTTAGTTGGGCGACTGTTTAGTAGATT